AAAAAAAAAAACTTACGGCATTGTATGCTCAAATCGGCACACGGATATAAGTACCCCTGCTGCGGCTGGAAAGTCTCGTTCATTTTAAAGCTAATGTATTTTTGATTTCTAAAAGCCCTGGGAATCATCTGACTAATGAGGCATTAGAAGAGCTAAATTGGGGATTTGCAAAAGAAAAAAAAAAGCGGTAGCTAAGCATGTTTATTTCACTTTCACAGCACATATGAATCAAACTTAATGCGCTAATTTTAAATGGCCACATTGAAAGTGTCAGTTCGAAACACAGCGCCTGCTTGTCACCAAGCATTCTAGCATATATATAAAAGCACATTAGGGCCATATCACGCTTGAGTGCACGCATCTTTTAGCATAACTCTGTTTCAAGATTGCAATAGTTTGGAACTGAAATATTGTTTTTAATATGGCTTAGGGCCACAACTGATCAAAACAAAGTGAGAAGAGAGCCAAATTACCTCAAAATTCGAACTGCAGTCCAGAAATTTTGTCTGATTCAAACACTTTTTGTCCAGAATTCCGCGTGCACAGTATCATCACAGCCGTTGTACAAAATATATTTCAACGAATCAGAAACCACAATTAAAATAATGGAAGAAACGACGCGAGACGCATGCCCGGGGAACACAACAAGGGCTACGCTTGAAGTCGAGGCGAATCGAATGGAACCAGGACGTAGTCCTTCGGGCTCTTCTATACTATCAGATTTTGCCGGAGCGCGAATTCATGAATTCCATTAGAATCGGGATTCCCTCATGTGCTGGCGTTTGCTGCCAGTCGGTTTACTTCCTGAGTTGCCTTCGCCTCTTATGGAGAGCGAATGCTAGAAGGGGTCCTGACCTGATTTAACTTTTGATGGGATTTCCGAGTCAAACATATTTGGAATGACAAAACTGGGAAAATGGGGGTGGTGAATGTTTCCATACTAATCTTCTTTTCAAGACAAATATGTCAACTTCCAATATTTATTAAACCCTGAAAAACACAAAAGACAAAAAATTGCGACTGAAAATTATGTACTAGGCACCGACACGGATTATTAAAAATTTATGATGTTCTTTGATGTCGTCCTGTTTTTCAGAGATTTATCTTGTTTGACAAATTTAGTCTGCTTTTTTCCGATTTTTTTGCAGTTTCTGGCCATATTTTCGTAGTACTTTGCTACTTCCATCACTTCTCAATATTTATCCGGGCAGGTTGTCTACCAAAAATTAATTGAAAATAGAATCACTTATTTCTAGCGCGAGCTGGAGTTATATGCATCATTCGTAGCAGTATCGTTTTGCGATAGTGCGTCGTTGAGAAAAGTGCAAAAAAAGTAAGGCCTTGTTCTGCTTATATTCATTAAATGCTATTATGCATTCATTTTAGGTACTATAATTCGTCATCTGCTTAAGATTGTTATTGGGCAGGAATTTGAAATCAATTGGCTGTTGATGATTGTTGCCAGTTCCTGGTCTCGGCAGTAATGGCATGACGCAGTAACAAGCGCGTCATGCTATTATTACAGAGACTCCTTTTGTGCTGAGTTCGAGTGTTGGCCTTACATCTGCGATTCGTTCATTCGTTTCAATGACATTAGCACATACCAGGGAGTCAAGATCGCCACTGGCCTGTTAATGAGTAGCCCTGAATCTCCAATAGCGAGTGAATGCGGAAAAGGTTTGGGGCTCTGAATTAACGGTAAAATTTTCTAAAATGTGTAGGTACGGACGGATGTGCTCATCACCTATAGGTTCTTAAGTTGGCATAGAACTGCTGGATTATAGCTTGCAGTGCTGTGAATTGTAAAAAACTTTCCAGTGCTGTGGGCTAGAGCTGTTTTTCGACCAGTAATTGATGTTGCACAGTACCAAAACAGCTGATACATATAAAGCTTTGCAAGTCATCAAGCCAACTGTTGTAGCACTTTGTTCATCGAAAAACTGTTTAGACACTGTTCTACTCAGAAACTTTTATTACTTTGAGAAACAAAATCTAGCAAAACTTTAGAAGCTATATTCCGAATAGCAAATTCTTTAACCGTGAAGAAATAAAGGTACAATGGTAACAACTAAAAAAAAAAAATTAGTGCTCATTCATTTTGGCGATATCTGCCTGTGACATATTCTTTTTTATGCAAGTTGGTCCAGGTTTCATTTCACATACGTGCGATGGAGGGCATTCCAATGCTTCACAAGCTGCAATTAAATTGAAATGACTTTAGCTTGCGCAGATTTATTGTGAAAATTATGGATCTGGCTCATAAGAAAATTGCCAGTTAATGCAGTTAATAATTTAAAGAAAATTCTTACTTCTTGAAGTTTTACACGAAATCTCCTTCCTAACTGACGGCACCGTACTACCGTGCTAGCAATTTAGCAGCAAATGAGATGCATTTTGTTTAGATAGATTTATAAAATTATAAAAAATAACAAGTTATTTTTGAACAAACTAACTTCCTTGTGGGGCGCATTTTGCTACTTTTCGACACGAACGACCAATACATGGCACTGTTCTTTCTACGCAGATCTGACCAGGAGGACAAGGTGGATGACTTTTGCAGCCTGAAAGAAAGAGAAACATTCGCATCGTTATTCAGGCACCGTTGGAACCAATGAAACATAAAATCGCACATGTAGGGAGGAACGTAAGCAGATACAGTACTCATAGACTTGAGATGTTGCAGACCCCGGTGTCTATTCGGAAGGGGAGTGAAAGGAATAGGAGAGAATGCTAAACCAACTGGAGGAAGATTTTGGTCGGTTTTCCGGACGACTGTTTTGAACCGAAGGCTTCAGACTGGGGATTTGTATATCATCATGCTCCACAGCATATTGCTTCTAATTTTTCCAGAATTTTCGGGATTTCTTTCGAAATGCAGTCACAATCATTACAAAGTTATGGCAAAAGGAAAAAAAAAGTACTTTTTCGAAATTGAAATAAGCTCTAACCTTTTGTGCTATCTGGCATACAAACAAGCATCGGTCGGCATGGCGGATTTTTACATATTACAATGTCTCTTTCCTCACAGTATGTTCCCAGCGGGCAGAACTT